ATTTTGCAGGTGTTTGAATAAAATACTTGGTTGCATACACAGAGGGAGATTGATGTAGAGTGAGAGATACAGAGAGAGAGATACATACGTGAAGAATATTGAACGTAGTGATCGAGTTTGATGTATGGATAACCAGTTAAAGTATTTATGTTTACAAGATATAAACGCTAGAGAAGAAATCGGAATGGGGAAAAGATGTAGAAGCGAAAAAATCGGTGTTGAGCACAAAAATCCGAAATAATGTAAAGATTATACGCAAAACAAATGTATGTGAGACCACACGTGAGGTGAGTACGAATGACGAATGACGTGTGGTGTGAATTTTCTGTTCAACAAACATGTTTATCTTTATCTCGTGTGCACACATACGTTGCTCGACGAAGACAAAAAACCAGTCATTGGATGTAGTTTTTCTTTATTTATTTCATCGTCGTCGTCGTCGTCGTCGTTGTTGCAGCTATAAGGCAAAAAGTGTAAAATGGAATGCTCGAACGCAAACATCGAGTGTGAAGTAGCTATGGGGATGATGGAGAAATTACAACACACGGGAAAAAATATAACAATATAAACATCATTAGGGATTTTTTCACTCTTGCTACACTCTCTCTCTCTCTCTCTTTCCTCACATCTTCTTCCTCTTCTTCTTATTGTTGTTGCACACGTTCACGTTTGCTCGTTCGTTAGATCCTTGTTGCTTCAATTCCATTCAAGCAGCCACTTTCTTTTCTCTTTATCATTTCGAGGATATTTAATACTCCGGCAAAGAAGCATACAACAATACATCAAATTGAATGTTTCTCTTTCTCTTCGCCTTTCGTTGTGTGTGTGTGTATGTGTTTGTTTCTCTATATTCATCTGCTTGTTTGCTCCCATTCCATGTAGTGCGTAGCGCTGGTTTATTGTTGTTACCGTTACTTTTTTTTGCTGTTGCTGTTGTTGTTGTTTTTGTTGTTGGTAAGTGTGAAAATTAAAGTAAAAAAAAAAACAGGAAATCCGTACAAGCACGCAGTTCTTTGCGGATAGGAGCAGAAGTGCGAAGCCAAACTAAGCAGAAAATACAATGGCTACAAGTCGTGGTGGTTAAATTAGCATAGGAATTTGGCACCAGCATTAAAGCGATATACGGATTATCATTAGCTCATTAAGTTGGAAAAAAATGGGGATACGATGAAAATCGGAGATACAATGACAGAATGCCAGAATGCTCAAGCCTAACATATAATGGCAGCAGCAAATACGAACGAGCCGCAATAACAGCACAAATAATACACACACACATACACACATACACCCACAAAATAACACGAACAAAAGAAAACAAACACGCAAAAGCGAACGAAAATCACATAGAACAAACAGAACACACACTACAAACATATAAATAAACACTTATAAGCAGATACACATAAAAACAGAAATGGGCAAATAACCTGAATAATAAGCGAACCAGAAGAGGAAGAAGAAGAGGAAAAACGAATTCGTTGCAACTTCGGTGGTGTCAGAATGTGGAGGTGATGGTTTGTCACTCTCTCTCTCTCTCTCTCTCTCTCTCTCTCTCTTTCTCGTTCCCTCACATTGTGAGAGATGCATTTCATCTCCCATTTGTGCCCATGAAACACGGCAATGCTCTTTCTCTCTCTTCTCTGTTAAGTGGGTCTGTTGCATCACCTTGGAGAGTAGATAATACATGACTTATTTGTAGCGTTCAGCTGTGGAACATTTTCGAAATCTTCAGTGAATTCGTTGGATTCAATTAAAGTGTCAAGTCGAATTTCGTCACTATTTACCTGATAAAACCTGAATGGAGCTGGGAGTGCTGCTGGAATCAAATGTAGTAAGCATAAATTGGTAGCAACGGAATCAAACCAAACTCAAACTTGGCTGCGAGTACGTGTTAAATTTTTAATTTAATTTCCTGTGCCACTGCGGAGAGAGTGAGAGAGTGTGTTTGCCGCGCATAATGAAGCACAAACTGTACATGCTCTGAATCATAAAACAACAACGAAATTCGATTTTTTATCCGTTGTTGTTAGATAGAATAAATGGAAGATTTTTCATGCGTTTGCGAATTTTTTTCCAAAGACGAAAACAATGGCATGAAAAAAAATGAAAAAAATGGCAAATCATAAAATCCACACGACTAAACCGAACTAAACCGGGCCGAGCGCAAAACATGCACACACATATATATCCGCTATTGAATTGAACTACGACTATGCCGTTGAATAGATGGGGATTTAGTTACCCGAATCTTTGACGAAATACACACTTCATCTTTTGGCGATTCTCTACAATAGAAAAACATCCAAGCGGAAAGATGATGCTTATAAAAACGACACTCAGTGACTTATTCTATTTCAAGGAGGGAAAACGTTACATCATGATAGTTTAAAACTTGTACAAATGGATTTGCGTAGATAATTCATCTTTTCGTTTTTGGTGCGATGCAACGAGGGATGAAACGAAAAGACAAACCCAAATGGAATGTCTATATATAGAGCACTGTTTCAATGACGAATCGAAGCGTATGTATACTGTGTCTGTGTCTGTGTGTATGTGTATTCATCCTAAACTCCAAGTTATTTGGTGGCAAAACTGGTTTCGCAAAAGTGGGTCGAATGTGTAATGGGTTGCGATAAGAGTATGTGCTACCACATCCAACAATATCAACGAATCATTCATTCATTCGTTTGCTCGCTCATTCACTGCTCAATGCTGATTTGCGTTTTGCGTTTTGCTCTCTTAATCAAAGCGAAACGATATCTCGAGAATCAAATAAAATCGCAGAGAAAAATCTTGTTTAGTTTTGCCCCGAAATTTGATAATCATTCTCAATCTTTGTTCAATAATAACTTTGTTTGATGATGAAGTGGTGCACAGCAGCTGAACGAAAATGATGACGGGGAAAAATGAGCAGAAAAAAAAATTAAAATAAAAGAAAAACATAATATTTCAACAGCAACAGCAACAACAGCAGCAGCAGTGGCAAGTCAAAGGAAATAAAAACGAATCAAATTATCTTCATCCAGTCAAGAATATAGCTGAAATATTGTTGTTGACTTTATTTTGTCCTTCAAGCAATGCTCTCTGTTTGTGCTGAACACTGACAGTGATATGCTCAACTGAATGTAAGTTGCCGCACACGCTTTCAACTTGTCGTTTTTGCCCCGTTCAAAACAGTCGAAATTGAAGATGAACTACAACGAACAAAAGACGAACACGAAATTGAGGGGACAGAGGATCAAAATGGGGCAAACAACAAAAGCATCGACAACGACAACAACAAAAACAACAAAAAATAAGAAAATACGAATATTAAGTTACGGGTTTCACTCTCTCTCTCTTCTTTTCCTCCGTTGTTGGCGTCGTCGTCATCATCGTTCTTCTTCCTATCTTTTTTTCTTCCATTTTCTCCCCCGGTCCTCTTTTTCTCTCACTCGTTTCCTCTGTTTTACTTTTTGAAAAACCCCACAAAATTTATCGGTGTACATTGTACACGATGCATTTTCGTTCCCTTTTTGCCGGTCAAATAAATAAAATGTATTGTACAATCTCCACAGTGCTCGGTGTGCGTGCGTGCGAACGAGTGCGCGCTCTCATTCGTGCGCTTAGTGCACCATTGCATATTGCAAGTGTTGTAGATATTATGTGCACCATTCTTCTTTTGATTTGGACAGCTCTCGTTTGTATGCAAGACTATTCAATCCATTTTAAGCAGCACTTGTAAGTTTATTTGGAGGTTTCTATAAATAGAAATACGAACGACTTGATGGAAAATAATTATTTCGTTTTGTATCTTCTTTTCGCTTCATTTTCGTTTTTCACAGTCTCTCTCTCACACACACACACGCACACACACTCCCCCTCCTTTCCATTCTATTTGCTTCGTCTTCATTTTCCCAAACCGCATATATATAAACACATATATACACAGTGTAACACGTTTTATGAATGCATCGACGATGTCGACGACGACGCATTTGTAATGCGCTTCGATTTTCTAAACTATGTCATGTTCACATCTGTTTTTCCAACAGTTTGGAATGGATGGTGAAACGAAGATGAAATGATGCGGTCGTACATATAAATCATTTTTCAATGTTGCATTCTCGCACTTTTCCGTCGTATTCCCCGAACTTCAATCAAACACATCGATTTTTGCTTTATCGCTTCGTTCGTCTGTCGCTTTTTCTATCTCTCTCAAATGGATGGATGGATCACAGTTGGATTTCCGTACGTTGAGCAATACTATTTTCCCTTTTTTTGCTGTCATCTACGATTACTGTTCGAGCAATCTGATGTTTATCAAATACTTTAAAGTTTTTTTTTTGTGCAGCAGTTGGAAGCGCATTCAAGTGATCTTCGTCAAACAAATGTGATCAATACGAGTAGCGTTCCATTCATTGCGTTTGATTGAATAATATCCGATAAACTAGCGAGAGCGGATGGAGGATTGCGGACAGAAATTGATATGAAGACACAAGCTTTTGCTATATCTCTAAATCGTGCAGCGACTTTTCAAACATTTTCACTTGAGAACGAGCAAAGTTTTTCATTTTTCCCGGTTTGCCAGAGCGACATATACATATATACATATGAATGTTATGTACATAAAAAAAAGTCGTGCTCTTACTTTTTGATGGCAAATGCCAGTGCAAACAAAGTAGTTTTAACGCATCTACTACTTAAATCTTGATTCGCAGACATTTAAGCAAAGTTTAACCGTTTGCTTGGCTTCCATGATGTAGTCGTAGTTTGTTTTTTATTACTTTTACTGCGGTTCGCCGCACTGGTAATCCGCGTGCAACAATGTTGACGAAGTCAAAACCCAAATAAAAATGCAATGAAACCAAAACAGAACAGAAAAAGACGAAAGGAAGAAAACGAAAAACTTCGACAGATGAAGAAGTATAGCCAGCTTTGGTAGAGCTAGAGCTGCTAGAGCTAGATGAATGTGTTGGGTTAGAGAGCGGTTTGATTGAGATATAAGGGGTACTTACCTTGAAACTCCTTTCGAGCGGCACTAACCGATGTCACAATGTTTGCAACGTGTCCCAAGACCGTTGCGAATAGCATTAAACCGAACAATAGCTGCGCAATGACGAACACATATTCACCTTTGGAACGTGGTCGCGGTAAATCGCCGATCGTTGTTAATGCTAACGTGCACCAATAATAACTTTGCAGATATTGTTTCACTACATCGACCGATTCAGAGTCATGGAATACCCACATTTTCGAACCGAATCCATTATTTTTATAGATTATATGATATAGGCATGCATTCCAATGGAATATAACCAGTAGATAGTGTATTAGGGCGACCGAACGAAATAAATTTGGATAGTTTGTGTGGCGTTCGGTGCGATCCATGAACGCCCAAAACCGATAAATTTTCACTAAACGAAATGATCGTAGTATGGAATTAAAACCGATCGATAGATATAAAAAGTCTAATGGCAACAAACACAAACAATCGATATAAAATGTCGTTGAGTTCATATAGTGTTGTCGCAATTTGGTTGAGTCTGTTTGTAATACGCCGTCCTCCAAGTAGCCGGTACGAAAATGAAATAAAATATCCACTAAGTATAGAAAATCCGAAAAATAGTCTAAGCAAAACCACACGATAATTGTCTGTGTATTTATCTCTTGGAATGCAAACCGATAGATTATCACCCAGAAATTGTATAAAAATGCCAATGATACAACCATTGACCAGTAATAGCACAGACGGCCAGCCGGATCAAATACAAATGTCCATTTGGTTGAATGCCGTTGTCGTGCCGATGTTGATGCGGTCGTAGAGCATCCCGATCGTCGGCCAAACCTGCAAATGGATTTGTTGACGTTTTCGTTGGTGTTTACCATAATATTTGTGACAATTGACGGTTTTGGAGGTGGTGGTGGTGATGATGATGGTGATACGTACCGATCAGTTCCATTACAGCCGCCGGGCGGCGGTGGACCCGTGCTGCCCAAATGATTACTTGATGCATTTGTGCCCAGTGTATTTGCCGTTGAGCCACGTGCACCAGTTCGATTCCACGTATCAAGCAATGGCTGGTCGCCAGCTTTCAATCGGCCACGCTCTTTTCGACGATTTTTCCGTGACAAATCCATTTCGGATGCGGTTGCCGATACGTGTGTGTGTGACGTACGTGTTGCACATTGCGGTGATATGCTATCGCGTGATGTCGAGAAAAATCCTTGCTGAGAAATACTCTGAGTAAATTGCGGGCGATTCATCGCTGATTTATTGGCCATACCTGAATGGAGAAAAAGAGTAAAAAAAATTGGTCGCAAAGGAAGCAAAATTAGTACGTTTTCAAATGCCTAGTTTGATTTTAAAAAAAACATATTTTCTCTGTTAGGTTTTATTGATTGGATTTTAAAATGGGTCTAAAAAGCCAGACTGAACGTTTTCTGCAAGAGGAACGGGCAAATTGAATTGGTTTCCAAAGCGGTTAGAATGGTTAGCAAATTTATGCTTAATTTATACTAAAACTTGAGCTGCAAAATGTGACATTGAATCGAATGAAGCTGGAATGGGATAAACGGGAGAGAGGGGCGGAGTAAATTCTGCTGATGATAGTTTATGCTGAAAGTCATCTGTTTGGTATGCATGCCGCATTTGCGATGTAATTGACTACTTTAATAGACATTATTTTGGGTTCAAATTGCTAGGAAATGTTTACACAGGATATAAAGCATTTATGTATATGCAGTATACATGTATGTTTGGCGATGGACTTTATATACACTATGCAGCATATATGTATTTTTTGGCATTTAAATATGCAAATAAAGATATGCATGTAGTGCTGTCATGTAAATGGGCACATACTAAACGGGCTTCAATCTATGCAATATGAAAGTAGGCGAATAGACACTTACAACAGCAAAAACAACAACAGAAACAACAACAATAATAACAACAAATTAACACTTGGATTCACACTTTACATCAGTGATACTTTCTAAAAAAACGTGACCATTGGTTACTCATACTCATTTAAGAGGAATTGGATTGTTTTGTAGTTGCATAATGAATACATGGCATTTTGGGTTAAACACACATAGCACAATATTGTTTTTGGTAAGGTTCGACTTTATCTAAAATAAAACCGACTCAATTCAAAACACCAAAGTAATAACTATTCACTAATAATAATCGTAATCATCATCATCATCGATAGGGGGTACATGTCAGTCTTTTATGTTGTCAGATGCATGTATTTGATTCGGGAAGAGCGGGATGAGGTGTATGTGTACGTATGGTGGTGTGTTCAGTGTGTATGAATAGATATATATGGTGTTTTGAAAATGGTTATTTTGGGTGTTTTGCTGGGGTCATTTTTCGTTGCTTACCCATAACATTATTACATTCATCGTTGGGAACATAATATTCATCAATGTTAAAATGTTGTAAGGCTCGATTCGATGTAATTGTTGCTAGATCGTGTGAGTGTATTGCATCATTTGATTTAGATGAATGCAGTGAATGTGGCATCATTTGTAAATTGACTTTCGATACAGCCATTGCCAATGCGTTGCCATTTAATGACAAACGCGACGATGGTATTGCAGTTGACGATGGCATTGAGATTAAACCAAAACTGTTATCGACCGATGTTGATAATTCGGTTGTTGGTGAAGCTGATAATTTCAAGTGTTAGTGTAAACATCAGTGTTGTGTATTTTATTCATTATGGATATTAAATAAATAACTTGGTAGAAAATGTGAAAGCACGTACCCGATGATTCAATAACATCAAACACACACACACACACACACATACATTCACAACAATCACACTTCAACATCTCAGATGGTAAATACCACATTAAAGTCAAGTGACCATTGTGATGACTGTTTATTTGTTTTACTTTTGATTGAAATTTGCATAAAAAAGGGGCAACGACGACGACAATGTTTGCCAAACTTAATTTAGATGGGCGGTAAAGCTCCCTACTTCACGGGACATCATTTCGTTCTTCAAATATTGCGCATGAAGTAAAGAAGCGACAATGGCAGTAGTAACGAACGCCTATTAATTAACAATATGATCTTATCAGAGGAGAGATGAACGCAATGATGTGGTTTGCTTCACAGCTTTTGAAAAATGATTGATAGGCTGGAAGCTTAGAATGACGGAAAACAATATGTCGCAATATAAATGAGTTCAGAAAATATACCGTTTAACATCCGCCAAGCATACACAAGCACACACACATACTGGCCCACAAGTTCTGCAGAACTGTGTTTATGTGTATGATGATGGGGCGTGTTCAGAAGTCGAGAGTCAAAATCAAGAATCATCACTCAAATCGTTGAACATTTCAGCTATGAATAGAGAATAAATCAGCTAGAATTTCAGGCTTCCCGACAAACATCGAAGAGGAAATGACTGTGAGTCGATAAAAATGACAAAATGTATGAACGAATGAATGAACGAAGAGAAAAAAGAATCATATTCGCATCGAATCTAATCGAAATGTGTGCAGCAACAGTATAAATCATGAAAAATGGTTTTTGATTAGATTCCATCAGTATGTTTATGTTGAATGATATCAACTCGGGAAACGGGAGAAAAAAAACGAACCCATGAAACAAACGGCAACCGATAGAAGAAAAGAGAGGCAGGGGAAAAAAATCGGCCGACACGGCTGAAGGGAACAAGAACAAACGATCAAAAAGACGATCAACATAAAAATGTTGTAAAAACCGTAAAGTGAAAGTGGAAAAAAAAGGTGACGGAAGAAGAGAGATAGAGAAGAGAACACAACTGTAAGTATATAATCATCACCCATCTTTGAAGTGTCGCATCATCATTGTCATCACTATATATATTACGCGTGACAACGTCATCAGTAATTTTATACACGTCTAACATATTTTTATTGCTACTAACTGCCGCCACATCAAGCACTTATACACACTCAGCGAGTGAGAGAAGAAGAAAAAAAACAGGCAACGACTCTGGATCAGGCTCACAACGCGCGCGAATACACAGTACATATACACACAAACAAAATTAGTGAATGGGAAGAGATAGCATAATGAAAGCGCATACATGAATAATGGCGCATCACACTAAATATTATCGTTGGCAATGTAAATGGTGAAAAGGTAATATAAGGTGTCTGCGGGCCACAGCACTGGCAATGTGAAAAACAATGAAATTATTGAAGATGACAGTATTACTGCAGCAGCAGGAGCTGCAGCACAAACGAAAAGCCAAGTAGAAAATTCATAAAATAGTTTTAAATAGACTTTCGTCTGAACTTGCAATCACAATTTAATGAAAAACTGTAAAACTTCATTAAACCACCAACGCTTTTGCGGATAACGAGACAGTGGCAAATGAGAATGAACACAGAAGCCAAAGAAATACACAGAGATGAAACAAAAAACAAATGGGTGAGGGTGAGAGTATAATGTGTTATTTGTTTTTGTTATGAGAAATGAAATGAAATGAAATTTAATGCAATCATTCCATATATATATATATATATATATATATATAGATATAAATTGACGTATAATGAATTGACGTGGTTTTTTTTTCTTCTCTTCTGCCTCCAATGTTTTGGCAAACTCCCATTCAGTGACCCAGTTAACAATTTTATCACAATCATTTGCTATATATACGAGTATAGGCAAGAAAAGCCACTTTTGAGGACAAATCAAAATTATGGACAAAAGTTTTGCTGAAATTTCCAACATAGCATTGGCAAAAAAAACTTTTTTTCATACACATTTTAATACAATTTATCATTGGTTTTTATGACTAGAAATTAGTATTAAGATTAAAAGCTCAAATGACCACGTAAAAAAAAGCAAAAAATAAATTACGTCAAATTGATCAATAAGCGTATTTGATTCTAAGCTAATAAAAAGGAAAAGTAATTTCACAATTACTGTGATGACAAACAATCTCATAAAGTGCCATCAACATCAAAATTAAGTTAAAATCTTTCGTTGGTTTTATTTAAACTTTTTTTCTTCCGAAATACAATTAAAATCAACAATGGAATGCTATGTATACTGATACATGTATTTGGTTGGAACTCGGTTGACCGAAGCGCCCTCTAAAGAACCTATGGCGAGTTCGTGATGTCCGTATGTTATACTTCAGTATGACTTTTGACAGAACGGAGAGTTTACTTGATTGTATTGTCATTAGCTTTGGATTATCTAGGTGGTGTTTGTGCTCAATGTCAGTTGTTAAATTCAAAACGAATAGGAGAGTTGATTAAGTTACTTTGCCCGAATGGAAGTGAAATAAAAAAAAACATTTGATGAAAGACAATGTATAATGTGTATGACAGTTTAAGACACATTGAACTTGTTACCTGGGAGATGTGATAATTTAAAAAAAATGTAGATTTTAATCGTTCATTTTGAACGCAGGTCAATAGGATACTTTTTTTATTTGAATTAAATGTTTCGAACGAAAATTAGCAATTAAAACTTAATTTGAAGGCACAACCATTTACCATATTCATACCAATATTCAAGGTTGGCCAAGGAACAATGGTCGACATAGACCGCAATTGAGTGCCACCCTGCTACCTCATGACATACGTGAGTTCTATAATCACCGTGCTTAACCAAACGAACTGTGCATTTTTTTGGAGCAGCTGGTATGTCATAGGAGTTCTATGGAGATTCAGTGATTCAATGAAAAGACAATTTTGTGGTGACATCTCTTGGTTGTGGTAATATTGTCACTTTGTAGTCACACGAAGTGTAGGGGAAAAAAAACCAAAACAAAAGGTGAACCCATGTCTATGCTCAAAAAGAAGCGAAAGCAGAAGCGTAAATTGTTACGAAATGGAACAAAAAAAGGAAATCGAAAATGAACTTTGAAATTTTCATGACGACAACCTGAGCACCACAATTCAGCACGTCAGCTCGAGTGTAACCGTTCGTCTTTTGTTGTGTGTCGTGTGTCTGTTTGGGCTTTTGCCATTCAAGTACCATTCATATACACTCAATAACACAGTGCTTGACGTTTGGCTAATTACTCAATGATGTGATCAACACAATAAAGTCTTGATTCTCTCAGCGACGGATGCGAATAAGTGGGATTGAAACTCTTGCTCACGCTTACATTCACACACAAATTAAAAACTATTGACAACTTCAACGGAACACCAAATCGAGAAAGGAAATTTGTATAAAGTTTAAAACTGTGTTTTTTTTCTATCCTTTATCCAACATCATGGTCCCCCAATGGTCGTTTACGCATTCATCTGGTGCTTTATTGTTGCTTTTGCTTTTTTTCTGTTCTTCTTCAATCTACGTGTTCGCACTTGGTTCTCTTTCTTCCGTTTCCATTCATTAAAACCGTGTGCAATATGCAAAAGGCTTATATGGATGAGTTGAGGCAAAACTATAACGATATACGGTGGTTTGAATATCGCTTCATTAAATCGCATAATAGCTCTTGAACGTCGCTCGATATCCATTCCGATCGTTTCTCGTTTTATTTATGCACCAAATATGTTTCTATATAGTATAATATTCTGTGAAATCCTCTAAAGATGAACTCGGTGCTCGTTATTCCTTTTTCTGTCGGCAAAATTTTTTCCCTCACCGACTTGCAGCCGCTTTGACTACTCACGTTAAGCGCACAATTATGCCAATAGTTAGATTAGCGATAGCATGCCGATGCGAAAAGCTTTAAGCATGAGTACAACAACCAAGGAGCGATGATGAGGGTATAAGGAATAAAATGGGCCGAGAAAATAAAAAAGAGCACTGTTCTATAGTCTAACATAGAAGTGTGCAGTGCACTCTTTCTCTCATTGAAATTGAAGGAAGGCATGTAATGTTACGCCTTACTTCCATAGAGCACATCAACAAAATGAACTACGAACCAAGCCACTTGTTTCTCACATACAAAAGAATTGAATTACCTTTTCAAGTGACATGAAAGAAGAAGAGAGAAAAGTTCACCCAGTTACAAATCTTATGCTTCTCTTTTTGTCACATTGCTTAATGCGGTACGAAGTAGATCTGTTGGGATAGGTGACAGCATGACACTTTGCAATGGTATTACCGAATCCGCACACAAAACAGTGAGGTATCACCGCGATAATGATCTTAGAATTGAAAACAATGTGCTTTTCATTCTATTGTTGTCGATGAGTACTCGGAGAAAATTCTCATTCAAGTCGTGCAACAACGGACACTTCAATGGAGTCACGGCACATACACACACAGCATGAAAGAGAGAGAGAGAGAGAGAGAAAGAGAGAGAGAGAGAGAGTGAGTGAGAGAGAGTGAAAGAGTAAAAGAGACACTGATAGAGACAGAAAGATCATGGTAACAATTCAAAGAGCCTTAATCAATTCTTCATTAAATTGAAACAGATAGAGGTAATGTTAAAGATTTAAAACTCGAAATGTGCACTCAGTCGGTGATTTTTCGTTGAATCCCATTATGAACATTGAGACAATGAAATAAACACGTGATTAAATAATTTGAGTGCAAAGAAATGTAATTAACTCCAAATGAATGAAGTTTTACTCTTTCTCCATCGCTCTCTTTCTCTCGCTGTGTCATTTCACAAAATCTCAAGTGAAAATGCTTTTGAAACTGCGCTTTTTTTTTCCTTTATCCAAATTAAAAATACTGAAAAAATATA